GATTTCGAGTGGATCGACCCTCCGAGTATTTATATGCCCCCACTTCCACCAGTGTCATGCTCACGTATAAAATCAAAATCATCACCCTTGAGCTGAATTCAATTTCCAGTAATAATTTTCTCTCTCCAATCATTCTACTGCCTGCACAAAATTCAATCCGATCAGGATGATTCCAGTGATTGAAGAATAATCGAGAGAAATTTGATGAGAGAAAGCAATTTGTGAATTCACGATGGGAAGAAATACAGGTCCACCAAACCGCACTCACAACAACAACCAGCATACAATGCTCTATTGTAAAACACAATTATCCAGGACACCCATTTTCCCACATGATTCACTCATTCTCAGTCCAGCCTAAATATGTAGGAGCTAGAGCAGACTTCACTTCACCAATCAATCCGATCTATCTTTCTCTATCCCACAGATTTCACCGCAACCAACCACCAAATCAGCCAACATGTGAATCCCTTCTTCCGAAATACTCTCCTCCTGTCAATTCTAATTTAAGTTTGGCCACAAGCTCCCCTCTTCACTCTTGCATGTGTGTATCTACTTTTACTCCATAATGTCCATACATATTAAGGAAATATATAGGAAATGAACACAAGTCGACACTTCAACTACCGCTACCGACAAAACAACACACCAAAACAGTCACAATTCACAATCCAATCTTGCACTGGACAGGGGAAGCTAGAATGGAGTAAGGCATGAATTAATGAGACCCTCCAACGGAACAATGTGCAGCACAATGGAGTCGCAGCAACGCAATTGACAAAGAACAAATTAATGGATTGCTTTCCCCCTTCTTCTTCTCGGGCTGGAAATCCAGTGAAATTTTGATCATTCAATTAATGCTGGATGGATATACAGAGAGACGAGAAGATCGAGCACGGACAATGGCGAGGTTTTTACTTTTACACACAAAATATGTATTCGAGTCAACCCTTTATTACGTAGTAGTAGTGGCCGCGGAAGGTGTGGGGACGTTAACATTGTAGGATAGGGGAGGGAGGGGTTTATATGACATGGGGTGATGATGTGGACATTGAACAACCGTGGGGACATGGTCCCTCTGTCCCCACACTTCCGCGGCCACTGCCAAATTAGTAGTAAAGTAAAGTAGGGTTGGAATAGCAAAGAAAGAAGAAATAATAATAAAGGGTTAAGTGAAGCCTCACTTGATCCATTCAAATTTGCTCCTAATCTAATATTATTTACGAGTAAGTGGGATTCATTTGGTTGGGGCAGGGTATCGTATCAAATTATTATTATGAATGAAGGCATCAGAATGAGGGTTGCGGGGCAAGATTGGTTTTGATTGTGGTTTTGTTCACCAGTCAGAAGAGATTTTTCGAAAAGATGATGAGCTTTTCATTAGAGGAAAATTAAATTATCCAAGATTACAAATACTTATCAACCCTGGTTGGCTGCAGATTGTAGACCTTTTAAATACACCATGGTTTTATAGACTATTAAAATTTGCATGTGCAAATAATAACGGGCATCATACTTAACAACGACCCACACCCATCTCATAAGCTCACTTTCCTTTATTATTATGTACGCAGGGTAATAATTCATGTGCAAATCGGCATTGGTTTTATTTACTGCTTCCACTTCCTCAAATTAAATTGCCAAATCCTTCTTCATTTTATAAACGACACATCTGTTTGCTTTTCTCAACTGCTGTTAGCGAGTGATGCTAGCACGCAATATATATTCGGAAAAAGCTGCTGGGTAAATTACCTTAGGAAAGTCAATAAATAAATAAATGGGTCTCATAAACTCTTAAACTTTCAACAGCGTGACAAATTTGGCCATTAGTCACTTCACTCTCTTTGTGTTAATGGCTTCATAGACGTTTTACGGGGCTTCTTAAATTGTGACGGTCATAATCTCGTCTCAATTCTCGAACACATATATATCGCGCATATGTGCAAGTCCTATCTGGTGGATGGGGAAAGTAGAAGGGAGGATTAGAATTAAAACTACTTTCTGCTAGGCAGATGCGGATACGGAAATAATCAGCTTGTTCACAATCAGTGCGAATTTGCACGTCACGATACGTTTGTAACCTTTCTTTTATAGCTTTGAATAATGATAACAAGGAATGAGTAGTTTCAAAATATTGATATTAAGTGCATCCATACAGGAAATAGATTCAATTTGAAATCCGTTTTTTTGCCTCCTCTTCACCCTAGTTTGCTCTGAATGAATCTTTCAAATATGCGTGTGTGCAGTGATTTATCATAATAAACCCGTATCCGGCGTACCGTTACAGATACAGAAAATATGATCCCACTGTCCAGGAATATGTGTGTGTATGGATCGGATGTAGTGAATCGGATTTAGAATTTTCTCCAAGTATTCAGCCACTAAAATGTTACGTGGCTGGCCATGCACACAGATAGCTAAACCTATTTTACGATTATATATATGCAACATTTCGAAGCAAAGACCAGGAAGGAGGAGGTTTTAGGTTTCAACGGATTATCTGCCCCCACCCAGCGCTGGCCGGCTGGATGGAGGAGCGAGATGAAGATGAGTTATTGCCCCGTGAGAGAATAAGCGTTGGCATAAATTGTACATAAATGTTTTACGTTTTTGGCTACCAGAGAGAGACAAAGAGAAGTATAAAGTAGGCTATAAAACGCGATAAAAAGTAGTGCGGATTCTAATCCTCCTTTGTCTCTGTCTCGTTTTATGTCCCATCTGCAAAATCGGGGGATTCACGTATGTATCATTTTGTCCTCCGAGGGTGTATAACTGACTGTGCAGAAAGTTTATGGAAGAAGAGATTGTGTGAAAGTAATTGGGTGAAAATTAGCGCACGTAATTAACAAGTCTTTTTATACACTCGTAACGATCGTTATGCTGAATTTTGTCATGTTTCGTAATGAATTTTAAAACTTTGTAAATGAATTTCTGTCCATATTGCGTCGAACGCTGATGCCCAGACTTGTTAATTTTCCGTATAAAAGAGAAAGTTCAAGAGTTCAAAGTAGATTGCATCCACGACTGATTTAATATTTTATTAAATTTCGAAACGTCTCTCTCACCAATTCCACCCTTCAATCGTCTAAAACACCCAAAAACCCTGCCAGCCACCCTTGCCCGTTTTATCATCTAAAGTAATGCGCCCAATCTAATCCTCTCATCCGCATTTCAAATCTAAAATTCCAGAAAAAATGCAGGAATGCAGCTGGTGCATCTTTTGTCATCCGACAACCCTTCTGTTCTCCCACACTCATCCTCAGCACCCACTAAATAAAACTCATAACACAAATCTCCTCTTCTCTAACGTGCCGCTTACTGCTGGTAAATCAGAAAAGCGTGAGAAATCAGGGAAAGAATGCAGCATATTGATTATGGAAATTTTGTTGCACTCTCGTCCAAATATTTTGGGACAACTGCACTTTTTGCCTCGATGAACGCATATTATGCAGCATTCCTTCTTTCTTTCGGGTCTAAATCAAAAATCAAGTGACGACCTCTTCGCTTCCCTTCTCGGCCTTGGCTTTTACCATATCGCGCATCACACAGTTTGGGGTTGAAAAAACTTAAAATCTTAAAGTCTTAAAATATAAAATCAGAGCTCCATTTCGCCCTCCGAGTGATAGTCGTATCGTGGTTGAGAAGATGTTGATGATGAAAAGACAGGAAAAGCGTCTTATGTTTGACTCTTCTAAAAATTGAAGATGTTGTCCCCCCCATCAGACTGCTTGTATATATTATTATCAGTCTCGTCCTCTCTCTCTCCGTCGTCGCTTGTTCGCCTTACTTTGCTCACATTTAATGTCGTCGGAGTGAGTGAGAAAGGGTGCTCTTTCAACAAGAATGGAATACATTAAAGAAGAAGAAGTAAGGGCGAGGAGAGGAGAGAAAAGGGCTTAAAGTAGGTGAGCTCTACTATGTAGACCTGACTGGCAGGGAATGCAGTAATGTTTCTCCAGTAGAATTTAATAAGACGACGAGATGATGCCGATGCAGATTGTATCATATCTTTTCCTTGTTGTTGGTGGAGATGCACTTCTTCTTCTCCGTTGTGTAGGACATGCTCGTAGAAATCAGAATAAATAAAAGGCACTTTACAACTTATAGACCGCATTTATTTCACGGTGCTCCCATTATATGTTACTATCTCGTGGTGGTAACACAACCTGTCAGAGAGGCCAGGACTCAGGGAAAACGCTGCGTGAGATTGTCATTTCATTGTCATTATGATATAGAAGGAGGACGGTAATGATACCTGCGTGGCGTGGCGTGGGTAACTTGAGGAGTACTTAACGTAAAATATATTTAACCATGAGGTCAAAATGTTGTATTTTAAAGTTTTTTTTATTCTTGCAAAACTTGGCTTAATGAATTTATGGCTATTGGATGGATTATTATTGCTTTTCGTCTAGCTGTCACTTGTTAGCTCGGTTATATGTGAGTCTGATCTTGAACTTGACTTAACCTTAAATCCACCACCAGGCTTACATACACATCCCTATAGCTTCTTCTTCTCATTGAAGTCTGCTATGTGCTATCCTATTATTCTGGAATAAATTTATTTTAACACGGAAGGGGAAGACATGGTTGCCACTTACTTGGAGTGCAAGTTTAAAAACCCGTTAATAAAACGTCACAACCACTAAACACCGAAACAACCCCTTTCTTTCTTCCCCTCTCCCGTACGAATACGCTCATCTTATCTTATCCCTGCTGCTACATTCCGAAATTCTAAACAATCTTGAGCACTTGAATCTTGATGAAGATGAGGAAGACGTGCCCTATCTCAACCAGGCCCGAAGTACAATAGAAACTCGATAGAATTCACTCCTTGCTGGTTGGTTGGGCGGCTGTGCCTGCTTCTGGTTCTGGTGTCAATTCGCTCTTTCTCCCCAAATTGATGAACACAAAATGAATACAGAATTAAGTAGGAGAGAGAAGAAGGAAGGAAAGGAAGCGTTTCTGTTGAAATGAGGATTTTGATGGAAATTTACACTCACAAGCAATCTCAATGTGGGAAGGTTGGCTGCGCTTAGGTCCTCTCCGATTCCAGGCGACACATTCACAGGAAAATCGTTCCGAACCGAAAAACTCTTGGACTTCTTCACGCGTAATGTTGAGCTGGACTTCCATCTGGAATTAAGATATTATAAATCAATTAACGTAAATAATTTCGAAGAATGTGCACAAAAATCTCGTACAAACGTAGGCAAATTAATACTCCTATTCCTTTCCCGACCACAAACAAAGATCTCATCTCATCTCTCACTCTGCAATTTACCCTGCCTAAATTTTTATTGTCAGCACCTTCCATTTCACGCTATAAAAAGGAACCGTCTCGTCTCCCGTTTTTTTATTCAAGCCTCTCATCTGCTCTGCATAAGACCACGTCACACCAACCAAACTGTGAGATAATGAGATGACACGACGGAATCTTTTGTCATAAAATAAAATTCGTGTGCATCACTTTCATCATTTCGAGATGCTAAACGTCTCGAAACTCAGCTTTGAACTGGAGTCGAGTCGGTCTTTATTTTAGACTAAAAAATTCACAGGCCGTGCGTGTCTGCTGCCTTTCTTCTTTATTGTGCCAAAGAATCTCATCTCATTCTGGCAAATCAACTGGAGAATGTGCTCAAGACGTTTGGTCGGATTCCTTCCTCCGACCAGATCTTGGCCATGCTTTTTCTCAACCAAACCACCAGATGAGAGGCTTTATACGTGGTGATGGTGCAAACGCTGGTTCATACAACTTCAAAGTCAAAGTCACTCTGACTAAGGAAGAAAAGGGAATGTAGAGTCATCATCATATTATCATCACCCACCAACCAGTGGCCGCGGACATCTGGGGACATTAACATTGCAGGATAGGGGAGGGCGGGGTTTGTATAACATGGGCAGACGTCGAATAACCGTGGGGACATTGTCCCTCTGTCCGCGACCACTGTCACCCACCATCCTCATTTCCCAACAAGCGTGAAATGTAGAATGCCTTCCTCTCTGATCATCGCTTGATCATCACAACAACAAGACGGCGTCACATTATACATAAATAGAGCGATCATATAATAATATGGGACAATTCTGGTGGAACAATGGGGTACGTGACTTAATTTCGTGGGTGACAAGGGGTCGGAGAAAGTTATGAAAATGCCATTATCGGCGAGAGGAAAGTGTAAATCCTTGCTTTCTTATCCTGTAAAATTGTAAATTCCTCCCACGAACTTGACGCTTTAACCAGACCAAACCAGGTAAGTAAAACAACAGAACATGTTTTTCCTGGGATTTCGTGTTCTACATCTCATATTGTGGGAACTAACTTTTTGAGGATTTTCTCCTTGTAAACAAGGCTTTTAGCCAACGCGGGAATCTAATGTAGTGTTGCGATGCGATGCGATGATACGCTCCACAAACTTTCTTCTCGTAACAAGAAGACTGACAAAAAGTAAATCTCGTTTCCTCAACAATTTTACCTCTTTTTTTTCCTCTGCGCACAAATTGCCCGACATTACGTTAGAAGAGAATTGGATCAAAATGAAATGAAATAAGCAGGTAACGCGACACACTGAGAAACCAACCACAGGTAAGAAGGCTGTCATCATACAGAAAGGATTGCAAAACGGGAATAACACTGCTCAGGGATTTTACTCGTATTAAACCCGCATCATTACATAAAAGAAAAAAGAAAGCCGAAGGAACAAATGCAATTTGCTGTCGGGTAGAAATCTGCACATTTTATTCTCCTTCTTTGACCAACCACACTGTTTTTTCGTACTGTGAATCTTCAATATCTGACTTACTTTTGTAAGTCCCCATTTTCTCATTATTTTCCCCATCAGACGCAAACTAGTTGCGGGGACAAAGGAAGAAGTGGTCCAACAAATAAGAAATTTTAATTCAAGAATCTAAAAAGCTTGAAATCTCTCTTCTATAAAATGAAAAGGAACGTAAGTGGATGAGTGGATGAAGTAAACTCTTGAGGAGAAAGTCGCCATATCATTTTGCAAAGCCAAGCCACCCAAAATAGGACGACGCCCTATAAAAATAACGTAATAAATAGAACACAGCTTCCCACTTTTCGCCTGCCTCGAGAAAATATCTAAATTCCAATTTACTTTAACTCTCCATCATAATACGTACATAACATACACCGCTTTCCAATGATACCCGCTGGAGTACACTCTAAGAAATTGAACCACCGGATGGTATCACCGACCGGTGAGTATAAGTGACTTATCGGGATGGTGATAACATGCCACTGCACAATTACAGCGGAATCACTACGTGGAAACACCAACCACCAGTTCGGTGAAAGTTTATCACCAAGCGGAAGCATACTACCACCGAGATGATAACAAATGTGAACCGGTGGTCACATTTCTCACCGGATTTTTTAGAGTGTATGTACATGCGGAGGAGGAAGACCAAGCATCTTGATGAGAAGAAGCGGCAGCAGCATATACATAGAATTATAGGGCAGCAAATACATGTACCGCAAAACCCGACCCATATGCATATATTTTTCACTTACTCGCAAGTCTACGAGGGCGTCGAATTACATTACGTACGTTATGTTACACAATGGAAAAGTGTATGACAATGCGGAGTCTGGCTATAAATAAGCATACTCTTCATCTTATACGAGTGAGGAGATGTTTTCGCTTTGGTGAAACCAAAAGTGAAAGCACTCTGGTAAGTAAAAAGTAGGCCAGCTTCTATCCAAGACTCGAGTCAAACTCATCATTCATGAATTCTCATTTACCACGGTTTTGCACAAAGGATCAGAAAAGAAAGAAAGAGGAGAAAGTCGATGTGACGTGATGATGGTCTTGGGTAGTATTAGTATTACGGTGGTAGTGTTGCTGGTGGTCTGTGTGTAGTTATCGTGGTGGATGGAATTGAAATATGGGAACGATGAAGGATTATGCATCATCACCACTTTGCTCAGATATTCTTTAATAAGAAGCAGGCCTAGCCATTTTTCTGGCTATTATTTAGATAAAATTTTTGCAAATAAATTAGCTTGTTCTAAATATGTCGTCTCATTTAGACTCTTTCAACACGTTATCTGTATTATTAGATAACAAATATTCTAAATAGTCTTATAAAATATTAAATGGCTCTTTACTTTCGCATTTTCGCACAATACTTTCGCACTTTCTGTGTTTTAAATAAATTTTATTTCAATGTACATAAAACTAATAAAAGCCATTATAAAACACGTACCATTGGAGATCCAGTATTTTCGTGGGTCGAGCTTCTAAAAAGTTGTCGCTTGTTGGGAACGACGGCTCCGTTGCATTTGAAGTAAACCTGCAAGTGACAAAAAAAAATTTTCAAATTTGAAATCTAATAGTGTATAATAATTTCAGGCTCAACTATTTATTGGTCAACTTTTGAACACTAAATACATACATACGTCTGCCTGCAAGACAGCTTTCGCCTGTGTAAAACGAGACCGTTTCTAAATATAGTACAACAATTTTTCCATCTGTGTCCAACAAAGAAACAACAACTAAACCAAATATTTACTCAACATATATTCATCTCTCTTTCTCCACCAGCTTAATTTGTACACGTCCAAATACATACACACACAAGTAAGATGGCAGACAAGACAAAGTTGACGTTTTGTATGTACATATAAATAATGGTAAATATGGAACAAGTTTTACTCAAGTACACAATATGCTCTTCAAGTCAGCCTGGAATAAAATGAAAATTGCATATGCATTCGTCCTGGTCGGCTCTTCTTCTCCTTCCAAAAACTACTTGAACATAAGTACCATCCGATTTATTTTAGTGAGCTATTCATTCTTCGAAAGTCTAAATGCTCAAAGAAATCCCGGCACGCAGACAAGGCCATTAACAAACAAACATTAAACTTTCTCGTCAGAGTGAACCATTAGTGGATGTAATACAAGCCTTTGTTACATACGTTGTTTGCGATTATTGCTCTATTTGCTGGCAGGGGTTTAATTGCAATTGTCACGCTGATTATGAGAATATGCATTCTTAGTATGAACGAACTCGTTTTTGTCTTCAAACATTGTCATCCTTTGGAGTGGAGCGGGTGGAACGTGGAACGTGAAAAGATTCCGATAAATTTATTATGCATCTTAATCCTACCTTGGTGGGTGTTCCAAATCCCAGTTTAAACATATTTTTCGATCGGATAAAATCTGCCTGGAAGTGCATATTCACTTTCTTAGGGGTATGAATGAACAGTGTTTCGTTTCTGGCGGGTTTGCTACATTTCTTGCACGGAAAAGCAAAAAGTGCAACAAATGGGAAGTGCAGGAAACTGGGAGAAAGTGCAAGAAATATGCTAGCCACGTGGCGTATGAAGTATAGCGGCGGGGTATAGTTTCTTGCGCCGTGCATTTCTTGCAGGTCAAAATAGCTGCAGGAAACCACTTTCTTGCACATCTTGGTTACTTGCACCCGAAACACTGGATATGAAGCTGTGAATACATGCACCTTCTACTGGAGAATGGCTGGCCTGCCTCTTGTGAAAATGTCTTACGTTACGTATTCAATGTGCAAGAGACAAGATGTGCAGCTTGTCTCCTCTCTTCTCTTCTTCCTTCGAACTCTAAAGTGATTAAGATAAATTCTTTTGAAGTCTGTGAAGCCCTAAAGCATCAAAATGTTCCGACAGCGGGTTACTGAGGGTGGTTTGTAGGTGACAAGGAAAAGGATGGTGGGTGCATCAAGTCAAATCAACTCTTCATACGGAACAAGTCCCCTTCTTTGCTTACCTAAATGCGTCGCGTCCCTCACAAATTGACAAACTTATCGTTCAGTTAGTTAAATATGCACCTTATCCGTACAAAATCTAAGATTGTCTCATATTTACATACGTGTCCCATTTTAGTCTAACCCATTTCTTCTCCATGCACCCCACGCGGTGTTTGCACCCTACAGAATTCTGGATCAAAAGAGAAGTTGTCGAACCCGAACGATCATTTTCATCTGGAGCATCAGTTTGGAAACAAAAAGATGCCGAAGAAGGATGACTGCATCATGGAAAACAACCCTCGGAGGGATCCCGCACTATATTGCGGACCAGACCAGATGACAATATGTGCTTCTTCTTCTTCTTACTTAAAATGCATCCCGTGAAGGAAGAAGGAGGGGAAGTTTGCTTTAACTTCCAACAAAGTTTGTGCATTTAGGATTTAGATTTTAGTCGAGTTGAGTTGAGTGAGTGAGAAGATGTTTGTCTTCTTGTCTCATGTTCTTCTCGGCTTGACGGAGGAGGATAAGTGTAAAATAGGAAACAAATTTGGTTAGTTTAAGTAACTCACTTTTAGTGCAGATGCTGCTCGGCAAGTCAGCGTGGCAGGCTTGTTTCGAATGATGAACACATCAGGTTCGGGCTCTTCTTGAAACCAGAGGACATCATACGCCCAAGGATCGTCGGTGGGGAGCGAGTCGGGGAATTTTGACTCATCTGTAAATTAAGGAAAAATAGAAAATATTTATTAGCATCGATTAGTGGTTATCGGAGAGACAATTATTTTTTGAATAAACTCGAACATATGCATCTCCAATGGGCAGTTAGCAAACCTACGTTTTTAAAATTTCTGTAAATTTCCCTATCTCTCGAGCTGGGGGTCAAGATTACCGGAGCCGATCTTGAATTACTCTTCAGGGTTATCTGCTCATTTTAGTATTGTCTGCAGAAATTTTCACCCAGCTCAAAATCTCTGGAAATTTTAAAACGTGGGTTTGCTAACATGTTTGCTAACATGTTTGCTAACTATCTAATATTCTGGATATCATCAATTTTCCTATGTTCGAATTACAACAACAGGTTACACATCCAAGTAAAAATGGGAGACACGCGTAGATATTCTCCTACTAAATGACCATCCGTGAACACAATACGACTAACTATACATACACGGTTAGATTCTAACGAAGTAGACCAAAATTACGTACGTTTAACAACTCGGGCAATCAACCCACAGCGAAGAAGAGTTGTTACGGAGAGAGTAAAAGGTATACTTACTTTAATGTCGGGGTTCTTAACAAGTACATATGAACCGAATTGCGTGTTGTCTTAAATAAGTAATGCCAATAATGGTACATGGTTTTCGCAGAAAATCGCACATGGACCGATCCCAGACGAGATAGAGATCCTATGTATTTAGCAACCTTCTTTTTTACAGAAATACATATGTACATATGCACATATTTTCATGATTTTGCCTTATCTGTCGCTGAATTTTATTTAATGCAACAATACAAAATAAGTAAGATTCAAAATACACAAAGTTTTAATATCGAGTGAAAATAGAAAATACAATCCGTCCTTCTTTTTTACCCGGTTTAACTGATGAATCCTGCCTGAAAAGCGGAACAACACGCACAGTGCATTAAGTTTTAAGTAGCATCAGCATCATCATCATCATGTTGATGCAATAACATACATTTTGCTGGGTACAGACGGAGTGGATAGTTCTACTATCCCGATATTTGTACGTATAGTTGAAGGTATTAGTAAAGAAAAATTGGAGAAGGGAGGGTAAAAAGCGGTCCAAGAAGAACAAGTCCAGCAGAAGTGGACTGATGATGATGATTGTTGTGCATTGTTTTGAATCTTCTCTTGTATGCATTTCAACATTCGTTCATTTCGTATTCTTACGACGATGTCTATTAAACTGAGATGGATGTTGCTTTGGTTCACTCACGGAAAGGAGGGCGAGTGGAGTGAGTGCAGCCTTCCTTCTAAAGACGATAAAAATTGTTGGTTTTATTTCGTTTGGCTCGTTTACATACGTATTTATTTGGTTTGAGGAATTTTTGCTGGATGGTCAAGAAAGAAAGGAAGAATCGTAAATT